CAAGCCTTCTGGTGTTTCCGAAAAAATTACCATGTCATCTGCGTACATCAGCAGGAACAGATTTAAAGTTTGAATTTCTATCGATGGACAGTTGTCAATTAAAAATTGCATCTCACAGTCATTTACATATAATGAAAACAATAATGGAGACAAAATTTCCCCTTGAAACAATCCGTTAACACAATTGAAGAAGTCAGATAATGAACCATTATACTTAACACAACATTTTACGTTATTATACAAAGACCTTATTAACACTAATAACTCTCCATCAATTCCTTCCCTTATTAATTTGAACCACATATTTTCAGTTAATGCCTTCTCACCTTCATCTTCCATTTGAGTATCAGTTACCTCCCCTGACCTTAACATGATTGTATTTTTGTCGGAACATATTTAATTTATTTCCTCCCTTGTCAGCTACCATTCCAAGAATCCCCCCAAAACACCCTAAATCTACCTCTGTTAGGGGATTGTTGTTACCTTGCCAACGCCAGTCCCTCCAGTGAAGAGAACTGAGAAGCGAACAGCGAGCAGCTTCTGTAACAGATAGCCGAAGCGCACAGTGTCGACCGTCGGCACCAACATCTCAAAGAATGGTACTTCCTTGTCGTACTTAAAGGCTGGCACGATCTTCTCCCAACTGTCCATACGCCGCGTCTCAAAGTCCATGTAGCAGCTCCAGAGGTCACCTCCAGCTGGCAACTGTAATTACACATAGACTTAATAAGTAATTACACATGGACTTAATAAGTAATTACAAATAGACTTAATAAGTAATTACACATGGACTTAATAAGTAAGTACACGTTGACTTAATAAGTAATTACAAGTAGACTTAATAAGTAATTACACACAGACTTAATAAGTAATTACACACAGACTTAATAAGTAAGTACACATAGACTTAATAAGTAATTACACATAGACTTAATAAGTAATTACACACAGTATGTGTTTAGTAGTCTGTATACATATATAGGGACCAATGTGTTAAATAAATATCGCTCTATCCTCAGCCTATTGGAACTGATTCTATACAATAAACCTGCTAAGCGATCCCTTGAGATGACGTTGAGGTCACGTGGTTCAGTGTTTATAGTTTACTAACTTGGTTCTATCTTCTTTAATACAAGTTTTTGTTAAAAATCCCTTATTTTGGAGGTAATTTCCCATCATGGATTTCATCAACACATTCCTCACGTGTAGGGAACACGTGTAAGAGTCCAGCTACGCCGCGCCATGTGTGTTGCTGCAGAGATCTGAAGTGTTGACTTTTTTTTTACTAATAGACCTTGAACTACGATATAAAAGCGACTCCGCCCACCAATTCTGGTGATTTACGTTTGCCCAATTCTGAGACGTCTGAGAATGATTTCTGTGAGTGAGTCAGGACCACCACTTTGTTGGGACACTGATTAAACTTCAAATTCATATAAATAAGGACAAACTACATTGACCTATAGCTTCTGAAGGGATTATGGTTAACTATAAAAACAGACATATACATAAACTCATTATTGACAATGAAACTATTATTTATATGTAGTTTGACATATCAATTTAATGTTTTGTATTATAAATAATTTTAATCTTATATGTTTTATAACACTGTTGATCTGTGCTCTAGATTTCCTGTAAAAATCTATGAAACAAACTGTGCAGACACCAAACAAATTCATACTAAGTTAACAGTGTTTTTGTAGTAAAATTTGGTCAAATTCCCTGTGGGTTACACCTAGTTTTTCCCTATTCTAGCAGAAAAGTTCCCAAATCAAAATGATAAGATTTTTTTTTGTTAATGATGCACTGTTTGACAAGAAAATGTAAAGAAAATTTAATAATTATAACATTTATTATTGTTTTTAAATAAAATATTCTTTTGATAGGATATAAATACAGTACCCAACTAAGGAAAATTGAGTGTATCCAAATTGGTAATTTTGATACACACAACACTTTCTTTTGAAATCTAACTCTCTCGACCCGTTCTCAAAACAATGAAAAAACGCAAATCTGGATCTTATAGAGGATTTGTTGTGGATTCTATAGAGGATTTGTTGTGGATTCTATAGAGGATTTGTTGTGGATTGTACAATGGATTTGTTGTGGATTGTACAATGGATTTGTTGTGGATTCTATAGAGGACTTATTGTGGATCCTATAGAGGATTTGTTGTGGATCCTATAGAGGATTTGTTGTGGATTCTAACTAAACGTTACCTTTGCATCTCCGTTGTCATCAAACAGACTTCGGCAGAAGGAGTCGAAGGCATCCCAGTTGGTTTCGATGAGGTTGCCTCCAATGGACCACACGTAGCAGAACACGAAGGTTGTACACACAATGATGTTGAGCTTACTGGCGTCCATGCTGAAGTCGGGGCCGCCACGTCGGAACAGCAGCGACTCCAGAAGATTGCACAGCATGGCAACCTTGCTGATGTCCACCTGGTGTTAAAAATACACATTGTTTAGACTTCATAATATAACATTACTATTTAAGCAATGAATGATTTTTCAAACGTTGTTAAAATATTCATTACTTATATTTACATTTTGATAGAGTAGTTCTGCTTTATTTAGTTATTTTGAACAGTTTTTGAAGAGCAAATCAAGTGTTGACAATAATGAAGTGGATGATGTCACAATGCCGTCATTTCGTATTGCAGAGTTATCTTCTCTTGTGAGCAGGTATTGATAGTCATTGGTTTGTGAGAGTAACGTCATCAATTTTTGAGAAAACGACATAATTTTCTCACACAAACCAATGATGTAACAATCAATACCTGCTCACAAGAGAAGATAACTCTGCAATACGCAAAGACGGAATAGCAAATGTTGTTTTAGATTCATAACAACATTTAACTTCTCAATGCATTGCAATGGATGGATGCATAGCAAATGTAAATATATAAAAATTATCCTGGACGCAGTATTTTTTCCTATATATCCAGATTGAATACACAATAGTTCCGAATATGAAAAGTTTGTGACATAACAACACCTGGAAGAGAATTCCAATTGTTTACAATCCGCTCACTTAAAGAATAAATCCTTGTGTTCAGCCCACTCCTTTTTCTTAGAAGTGCTAGACTGTGTCCTGTTGCTCTTTTGTTATTGTTTTGAATTAACGATCCCTCTGTGACTAGCATAACAAATTATACAGAAAAATAAATTAAATTCATTCAAGGGAGTGTTTCCATTTCTTTAATACAATTTTTCAGTATTTCTACCTAAATATTTCTGAATAAAATGTATTTGTGATCAAATAAATCCCACATAGCCCTTCTCGAGGGACATAACCCATTTTGTCCGACAAAACCCTTTTTGTCGGACAAAACCCTTTTTATCGGACAAAACCACTCTTTTGGGACATAACCCATCTGTGGAACAGGGCCCCTCTGGTGCTACATTACCCCTGTAGTGGAATATAGTTACTCTGGTTGAATATAGCCCTTTGTCTTAACATAACTCTGTAAACCCTTTAGAAGGACATAGCCCCATACATATAATGATAAGACTAGACTTGTTAGTCTCTATGACTCTATCAACAGGATAGGACACCTGTGGTCAGTCTTGACCACCCGTACCTGGTTTATGGCCTGGGTACACTTCTTGTGCACATACACGAGACCAGATTCTATGTAACGTTTGAATAGCTCCAGCAGATATTCAGACGTCTCCGGCTTCATCTTCTCGGAGAATTGTGTGATCCATGTCTGAGCGTACGGCATCCACTTCAGCTCTTCCGCGTCAATGAACACCATGCCGCAGCGGCTAACAGTGGCAGGGGAGGCCACCGCCAAGTCCTGAACCTCGAACAACATGTGTATAAACGGGGTGAACTTGATACGTTCACTGTTAGCGAGACACAACATCTTGTTATCATCCAGGACAGTGTTCATGTTTTCAATCCACAGGGCGTCCACGGGGCCGTCACACACCACCCACTGGTGGTCCTCAGATGTGTCCTGTCATAATACACAGCACAGTTACATATATAAGTGTGAAATATATAATGACACAATATTTTTCTGCAGCAATGCCAACATAAATTTTTCAGACCATGAATTATTCAAAAAGCGAAAATGCAAAAACAAGTTTATACAAAATGATTTCATTCCTTTTCAGTTCAGATAGAAAAAAAAACAAGATTTTTTTTTAAAAAAATGAAGCGACTGTGTAGGCATATACGCATGATGCATGTTACAGACTTGGAAAATTAGGTTACCGTGACACACTTCCTGACGGTGATGGCCATGAGACCATCGGCCCACTCTAGCGTGAGTTTGTTGATGCCTCCGTACAATTCCTCCATAGTAATGGCTTTGGGGTTCATCACATATGTGTGCACGGGCTGGTAGAAATCATTGGCCTCTTTGGCGGTGTGGAGATTTGTCAGGGTATCCCCAAGTACCTAAAACAGAACGGAAAAATATATAGAGGTTACCAAACGAATGATGGATTATTATCATGTCTTTCTAACTTCAGTCAGTTAATCTGCATATTGTATGAAGACACAAGGCTTACCGTGGTCATTAATCATCACAAGTTTGGGGAACTGCATGGTCGAAAAGCATTGTTGCATGACGTCATAAATGAAAATGACGTTGAAAAGCATTGTTGCATGATGTAATAAATCAAAGATTGACCAATAAAATCACGTCTAGGGTGTTACCCACTAGTGAGTAACCTAGACTTGTTTACACCAACTTCCAGCAGGTTTATCCAATGAGTCACGAGTGAGGAAACGTACATGGTTGTGGGTTGACTCGGAAGAAACTGAGTTCTGGTTACGTAAAAAACGGTCACATGCTGCTGACTGTGGTATTACTACCTACGTGGCGACATGTTTGTGAGAATAGCTTCTCCGTCAACTTTATCAAAATATTTGATGATAATGTGATTCATGACGTTATTTAAAAAGATCATGGCCTGTATTCATGAAATCATTCTCACACATAAGCATTGATTCTGTGTGCAAGCCTACTTTGTTGTAACTTTATAAATAATGTAAAACTGTAAAAAAATGTCAAGCGTAAACATTCAAAACACTTTTTGACTTTAAGTCTCCAAATTCCTCCATTTCATTGAAAAATTGTGGAGTTTTTTATCGTCTGAACAAGAAATTTGACTTGAGCACAGAATCCAAGATTAAACATGAGAATGGTTTCATGAATACATGGCCAGATTGTATAAGGAAGAAAGTAAAGATATAATTAAATAAAACAGAGATACATACGGGCCTAGATTAACTCCTGAATTAACTCATTCACCCTTAACTTTCATAATGAACAATTCCAACCTTTGAATTGGAAGAGTTCAAATGTGTCTTTAGGGGTGAATGAGTGAATGTTTCAAACTACATGCAAAATAATTTCATTGCTAGACCGCTGAGAGTGCTGCTCACCTTGTAGACGGAGGTCTTGCCGCCTCCGGTCGGTCCGACCAACATGACACCGTGTCGTACTACCATGGTCTCGTACAGTTGTATAATCTTAGTGATCTGGGTTTCCACCACCTGGAGGTTCTTCGCTTCCACCACGTTGATGATTTCCTCACGCAGACGACCGTAGTCGTGCTCTGGAATCTCGACGCCTGGGAACAGATCTTGTAGAATGGCCTGTAATACATCGTGTGAGAAAGTTGACACAGCGTTATCAAAAACGTAAAATAAGAGAGACAGAGGAACAGGCATGTTTCTTTTCATATTTTTCTTGCATAATGCATATATATTCAACGCCAAAAATACGAGCATTTCACCACCATGAAAATTTCCACTTTTACCGTTTACTGTCCTACTTGATTTTGACACATTTCTGTGACCGTGTCCTTGCTGTCATATCACAAATATTGTTAAAATATAGAGGAACATTTAGCAACTGATACATTATAGTGTTTTAATTTTTTAAATAACATTTTTGCCATTTTCTTCTTGAAACTTATCTGCAGAGCTTAACGTTTGTGCAACACCAATGATAGCCATGCAACTATGTCAACGGGTAACCCTGTTCATAGCTAATCCTAGCTGTATATCAAAAGCGTCACAGATTTGTGAAGTTTATTGTTTGCAAATTTGTACTGTCTATATATATACATCGAGCAAAATTAAAACCTCAAAGAACTTAAGTGTTATACTCATTAATTAATGTGGTTGATCTTGGTTGAACTTGTAAACCTACAATAGCATATGTTTATTGTCAGCCCAATCACTGTGACAACACAAGGTTTAAATGACTACGGTTTACCAGGAAATTTTGCGCCGCAGTTTAATTTTTCGCCTTTTTGAAATTATCATTACAGCGAATAATAATAAACAACGTTATATACATAGAAAAGAAATGTGTGGGCGAAATTCATACTGGGAGAACATGTATTTTACCGGCAAAGGGTGAAAGTTTGACTGGGCGAAAAATTTCATGAAGTTAATGATCAGAAAATTTCGTCATATATCAAATATAATCTGAATTCAATGTCTAGCGCAGCACAAATTTTGTCAAGAAAACCCAGACTGGGCCAAGAAGTGTTCAAAAATTGATGATGCGTTCACTGACCTGGAACAGGAGAGCGTCTTGTTGAAGGAACTTGGGCAGATTGCTGTCGCGGAGAGCACGAATCAGCACCACATCCTCACTCTTGTCAGGGTTCTGTCTCTTCAGGGCTCCAGCCATCACCAGCACAGACTTGACGGCACGCATGCCGAAGTCGTAATGATCTTGTTGGGAAAGTTGTTCACTACACAGCTTGTACATCTGTGTCATCTTCTGAGCCAAATTCTTGGAGGACTCGAAACCCTCCGAGTAAAGAATCACTTCAGCGATCAGACCTGTGTGCAAAGGAACCTTGTAAATATAGACACTGTCTTTCCAAAACAATCATCAAAGACCATTTTTTTAAATGAACACGCAAAAAATTGTTAAATTTTTCTCATTGAATGTGAACAGTAGAACTGAATCTTGGAGAGTGAATACACCTGAGTTGAAATAAATATTTCTTGACAATGCACTACGTACGATAGTCTGGTACCATCATGGCGAAGGGTCGGAACAGTGCCTTAAGGTTGTCTGGTAGCTCTGTACGGCCGGCATATCCTGGGTTCATGGTGATGAAGGCAGCACAGGTAGAGATGAGCTTGATCTCGCGACCCTCAAACATAAACCTTGATACCTGTGGATATAACGACAGATACTCAAAACTTCACCGACCAAACAATGATGCTCAAAACTTCACCGACCAAACAATGATGTTAAAAACTTCACCGACCAAACAATGATGCTCAAAACTTCACCGACCAAACAATGATGCTCAAAACTTAACCGACCAAACAATGATGTTAAAAACTTCACCAAACAGGTAATATTTCACCACGATTCTCAAATATAAAAGCATACATCTTCAGCTTGGTATGTAAATGATATTTTTTTTTATATCCTAAATGAACAAATAGTTCTGTTGTAATCAGACTGGTCTGTTGTAATCAGACTGGTCTGTGGTAATCAGACTGGTCTGTTGTAATCAGACTGGTCTGTTGTAATCAGACTGGTCTGTGGTAATCAGACTGGTCTGTTGTAATCAGACTGGTCTGTTGTAATCAGACTGGTCTGTGGTAATCAGACTGGTCTGTTGTAATCAGACTGGTCTGTTGTAATCAGACTGGTCTGTGGTAATCAGACTGGTCTGTTGTAATCAGACTGGTCTGCATATCTTTTACTTGGAAACAGCTTATTTTTTTTTTATTCTATAGCCTGTCCATCATGTAGTATTTAACCTACCTTAGCGATTTTGGCGTTCCTTATGGTGATCAGCTGCTGGGCGATCACAGACAACACTTCAATGTCGATACGGTTAAACTCGTCAAAGCAGCACCAGGCCCCGGACTGAGCCAGACCAGAGAAGAATCGACCCATCATCTGTAAATACAAATAACCACTCATGTAATCACACATCAAATGTAAACAAAACAATTCAATGAAATGTAAACACAAATAAACAAAAACAAACGTATCATTTTGTGAATATCAATAGTGATGATTTTGAATATCTTTTGATGTTCTATTACTTTTTATGAAATAATCTTATCTTTTTTACATTTTTTACTTTTTCGCCTCCAAGATCTTTTGATATTAATTGGTTGTTAAATCATATAGAGAATTTAAGGGCTTCATACCTTGTAGTCGAGCCCATCGGAGCAGTTAAAGACGACACACTGTTTAGACAGGGCCTTTGCTAGATCTTTTGTCGTCTCAGTTTTGCCAGTCCCTGCGGGACCTGCTGGAGCTCCGCCGAGGTCGAGCTGTAGCGCCCCCATGAGGCACAGATAGCAGCGGTCAGTGAGCGGAGTGATGACGAGACGAGCAGACGCCCCCAGGTACTCGTACCCACACACATACAGGGAGTTTGACATACGGATGGCACAGTTGTCCATCTCCAGGTCCCAGTAATACCGCAGCTGTTTCTGCCACTCAAAGCTGTTCACATCGTCCACCTTAAACAGATACAGTCAAACCTCATTATACTGCCACCATTAAAACCTCATTATACTGCCACCATTAAAACCTCATTATACTGCCACCATTAAAACCTTATTATACTGCCACCATTAAAACCTCATTATACTGCCACCATTAAAACCTCATTATACTGCCACCATTAAAACCCCATTATACTGACACCATTAAATGCCACCTTAAAACCTCATTAAATGCCACCATTAAAACCTCATTATGCTGCCACCATTAAAACCTCATTATACTGCCACCATTAAATGCCACCATTAAAACCTCATTATGCTGCCACCATTAAAACCTCATTATACTGCCACCATTTCTCCAGAGAAATTTTGGCATTATAAAGGGGTCTGGCAAAATATTGAGGAAAACGTGTTAAAGGAATTTTTGAGAGAAAAAAAAAGAGAAAAATGGACCTTGAAATATGTTGGCCGAAAGCAAAGTGGCAAATGAAATGAGAGGCAGTATATCAAGGTTTTGCTGTTTAAGTATGTATGCTGGTGCTCTGGACAAATTCCATTGCTCATTTTCAACAAACTACAAAAAATACTTTTATTTCATGAATCATGATTGTTGTTCTTTGTTCAAGTAAAATGTGTTACATTCCCCTTACCGTTGTTCCTGCTATAAATGTATTGCAAGGTGGGGAGTCTTCTAAGCTGATAGTCAGACCTCTATTAAGAGACCACACTCAGAAATTCCAAAAAGTGGTCCCTTAACATAGGTGATATCTTATATATAAGCCATATAATACTATAAGCTATATATAATCTAAAAATACATACTCACATGCAGATATTTTTGCATCTATGTACTGAACACTCAAAATACCAGGATTTCAACACCATGAAATTGTCCACTAACAGTTTATTATCCTCCTAACTTTCCAACAAACCACAGTCGCCATTTTCCTCCCGCCTACCTTGTTTTGACACATTTCTGTGATCATGTCCCTGCCGTGTACGTCGATGGTGATGAGGGCACACAGGTTAGCGCGAGCTAGTTTGGGGATCTCCTGACGTACCACACTGGCCAACTCATTCAGGTCCTGGTAAACGAAAAACAAAATCTTGTATGCATGGAATTTATCAGGTATTTGCTTCTTAGAACTATTAACTGTAGGTACATACAGAAAAAAATATAGTACTGTAAATGTACTTGTTTGCTTGCACCTCAAATCTTAGCACACATGTCAAATTATAACAGATGAGCGCATTGATGAATTGGCAAATCTGCAAATCTGCAATAGCAAACTATTTACAGGATTCAATTGGCACAGTCATAATTTAGCGAAATACTGGAGGTGTGAACAGTGCTAAAATGATACAGTACTAGTTCTGTGTAACCTTTCATCCCACTCAATGTACAGCCTTTTTCTTGAACCCTTTCACCCTATGTAACAATGATAGACTCTACCATGCACTGATCTCGATGAGTTCATTATGGTCTACAGTGGAAAGGTTTAAAACTACACTTCAAAACTTTGATGACTTGTTTTGGATAAACTGATGGCCGAATTCTCTCAACCAAAATTTGACCAGTTGTTAAATTTTCCCTTTTTGCTCAAGGACAAAATATAACCATATAAAAAAAACACCGTTTTACAGTCGGTATTGCATAATAAATCAGTGATTTGTTTTTTTGCTCAGTTTTAATGGCAAATACGACTGTTTACCTAGCTTGACAGTGTCTTATTTTCCCAAAATGACCATAAACTGAGGAATATATTCCCAATTTCAATACAAATAATACCATTTTTCCCAATTCATAAAGGAACATGTTGTAAAATTTAGGTTTAAAAAGCACTGAGATAATATTTCTGAGGTTTCATTTTTGTTTTAATCACACAGAGTGACAATGTGAACTATGTGAACACGAATTCTGATATCTATACAGGGAGATAACAGAATTCTGATAGCTATACAGGGAGATAACAGAATTCTGATAGCTATACAGGGAGATAACAGAATTCTGATAGCTATACAGGGAGATAACAGAATTCTGATAGCTATACAGGGAGATAACAGAATTCTGATAGCTATACAGGGAGATAACAGAATTCTGATAGCTATACAGGGAGATAACAGAATTCTGATAGCTATACAGGGAGATAACAGAAATTAAACACCTTGAATATGTTCTGGGAATATTTTAACTACAAAAGTCACGGAAACCCTCACTTATTATAATACATTTTGTTCCCCTTTATACTCACCCTGAAGTTTTTCTGTTCAAATTCTTTCATTCCTTCCAAACGGTCAAAGGTGTCACTTTCCAGGATCTCTGTCACATCGCGACACCAGACGATCTGTGACACGGCCAACACAATCTGAAACACGATACAAATATATAAAAAAATTGATACTTTTATAAAATTCTTGTAAATAATCCAGATTGTCAATTCATTTTAAGCAATTTCTTTTTTTTTGGATTAAATTTGTGTGAAAAGATTATCACAAATTCAAATATTTCCGGAATATTTATTCCTACACCACAAAATTAGTACCTGAGAAGCATGGGAGACAACCCATTCCTTACGGGGACGTTTCTCAAAGTCGCCAATAGCTGCTTTGGTGAGACGACGAAGGTTGGAAAACATAGCCTCCTCTACCTTACCAAGCCAGTCCTCTACATTGCCTCTGGCCTTCAGCCCCTGAAACAAATCGCAAGTGGTCAGTGATAAAACACATAGACAGTGGTCAACAATTACCTAAAGTTACTGACAGCTACATACAGCGAGTCTCTACTGATTCCAATCATAGAAGTTGATATATTGCCACTTTTCATTTTTCACTTAAAAAACAGTTGAAAATGAAACACATGAAGTAATAATGTAAAATGAAACAGAGAAACAGTGTTGAAGGGAATATAAAAAAGACGAAAATTGAAATAATTTCTTAAAAATTATGAGTTCCAGGGAAATGAATTATGATTAAAGCATTTTTTATCTCTTAAATGTTGAGTAAAACTATTATCAATATTACAGTAAGAAAACTTTTGAGACTTACCCTGCCCAGAATGACTAAGTAAGCTTTTGAGACTTACCCTGCCCAGACTGACTAAGAAAGCTTTTGAGACTTACCCTGCCCAGACTCACTAAGTAAGCTTTTGAGTCTTACCCTGCCCAAGCTGACTAAGAAAGCTTTTGAGACTTACCCTGCCCAGACTGACTAAGAAAGCTTTTGAGACTTACCCTGCCCAGACTGACTAAGAAAGCTTTTGAGACTTACCCTGCCCAGACTGACTAAGAAAGCTTTTGAGACTTACCCTGCCCAGACTGACTAAGAAAGCTTTTGAGACTTACCCTGCCCAGACTGACTAAGAAAGCTTTTGAGACTTACCCTGCCCAGACTGACTAAGAAAGCTTTTGAGACTTACCCTGCCCAGACTGACTAAGAAAGCTTTTGAGACTTACCCTGCCCAGACTGACTAAGAAAGCTTTTGAGACTTACCCTGCCCAGACTGACTAAGAAAGCTTTTGAGACTTACCCTGCCCAGACTGACTAAGAAAGCTTTTGAGACTTACCCTGCCCAGACTGACTAAGAAAGCTTTTGAGACTTACCCTGCCCAGACTGACTAAGAAAGCTTTTGAGACTTACCCTGCCCAGACTGACTAAGAAAGCTTTTGAGACTTACCCTGCCCAGACTGACTAAGAAAGCTTTTGAGACTTACCCTGGCCAGACTGACTAAGTAAGCTTTTGAGACTTACCCTGCCCAGACTGACTAAGAAAGCTTTTGAGACTTACCCTGGCCAGACTGACTAAGTAAGCTTTTGAGACTTACCCTGCCCAGACTGACTAAGAAAGCTTTTGAGACTTACCCTGGCCAGACTGACTAAGTAAGCTTTTGAGACTTACCCTGCCCAGACTGACTAAGAAAGCTTTTGAGACTTACCCTGGCCAGACTGACTAAGTAAGCTTTTGAGACTTACCCTGCCCAGACTGACTAAGAAAGCTTTTGAGACTTACCCTGGCCAGACTGACTAAGTAAGCTTTTGAGACTTACCCTGCCCAGACTGACTAAGAAAGCTTTTGAGACTTACCCTGGCCAGACTGACTAAGTAAGCTTTTGAGACTTACCCTGCCCAGACTGACTAAGAAAGCTTTTGAGACTTACCCTGGCCAGACTGACTAAGTAAGCTTTTGAGACTTACCCTGCCCAGACTGACTAAGAAAGCTTTTGAGACTTACCCTGGCCAGACTGACTAAGTAAGCTTTTGAGACTTACCCTGCCCAGACTGACTAAGAAAGCTTTTGAGACTTACCCTGGCCAGACTGACTAAGTAAACTTTTGTTACTTACCCTGGCCAGACTGACTAAGAAAGCTTTTGAGACTTACCCTGCCCAGACTGACTAAGAAAGCTTTTGAAACTTACCCTGCCCAGACTGACTAAGAAAGCTTTTGAAACTTACCCTGCCCAGACTGACTAAGAAAGCTTTTGAGACTCACCCTGGCCAGACTGACTAAGTAAACTTTTGAGACTTACCCTGCCCAGACTGACGAAGAAAGCTTTTGAGACTTACCCTGGCCAGACTGGCTAAGTAAGCTTTTGAGACTTACCCTGGCCAGACTGAATAAGAAAGCTTTTGAGACTTACCATGCCCAGACTGACTAAGAAAGCTTTTGAGACTTGCCCTGGCCAGACTGACTAAGTAAACTTTTGTTACTTACCCTGGCCAGACTGACTAAGTAAGCTTTTGAGACTTACCCTGCCCAGACTGACTTTCTCACTTTCCGGAGACACCATGGCCAAAATGTCATTGCTGTATTGTATTTCCTGGTCCTCTGTAAACATAATTAACTCACATACTGTAAATGCACTAAATTAAGTGCACTAAAATTTTAGCGCACTATCAAACTTTACAGATTACCACATTGATGAATTGGCGAACCACGAAAATAACATACAGAACCTTCAATTGGCACAATCATACTTTAGTGCAGTATTTAACCCTTTCACCACTGAAGACCATAATGGACTCATCCAGATCAATGCATGGCAGAGTCTACTAAAGTTACATAGGGGTGAAAGGGTTAAAGTGTGAAAAGTGCGAAAATAAGACTACCACTTAAATATGTACATTCGCAGTATTGGCATATTGAACCAGTGTAATCTGAAATGAGTAGCCAGACTGGAAATATTAGTCCATGTCTGTTCAGTTTAGAGCATTTCTGGCATACTTTGTTGACTACTTAGTTAATAGAGATAAAATTGACCACCATAGTCCATGATTGACCACTTGAAATATACTGACCGGCCTGGTCGGACTGGATGCCAAACTCAAGTTTGGCGATGGCGTCGAAGCACTTCCTGAGATGGGGTTGTACAGCCAGGGGATTCCTTGTCTGGGCCAGAATCTCCAGCAACTCGTCATTAGACAGGAAGTAAAACCTAAGGTCAAAGGTCACAGATCAATAACAGATTACATGAGGTTTAGCAGTCAACGATCAGGAAAAAATAATAATAAAAGTGTCACTTGAACTGTTATAAAACAAAATTGGTGATTTGGACTCCATATGTATTTTTGAAAAGATGGTCATTTTGACTTGGAATGTCAAATATTTCAATTGGGCTTAATGTATTAATTTGGAAAGATGCATGGATTCAAAACAATATACTTTGAAAATTTGGGTTGAAGGTTTTACCTGGGAAAGACGGCCCGCTTGGACTCGAGGTAGGCCTCCAGACACTTCTGGATCTGGTCTAGGAGGGCGTTATTGTTCTGGAATGTTTCCAGCAGTCCAGGCTGTGTAGCTGCACGGATGGCTAGTGGCACTTTGTTCACCTTTCTCATGATGTCCTTGTAGGATTTGTCCACCTGCATGAACATCTTGGCCTCAGCTGGCAGCTGACGCTGAATGTCGGGGGCGCTGAAGATCGACTCCAGGTACAACCAGGCTCGCTGGCAGGTCAACCACTCATCCTAAAATAAGATATTAAACTTGATGCAAATTTCTTTTTAGTTTTTTATTGATCTTCTGTAATTATTCCTTTTTTGAAATATCAGGTAATTTATTATGATGCTTATAATTCTGGTAACTTTTATTTAATTTTCCTTTTCTAAATGAAAATGTTTTGTTATGTTTTTTTCTTTCAAAATGCTATGTTTTATTAGAGAAGGTCCATTTTTCTCTCCAATAAGGCAGATAACTTTGTGATACCCTGAAGGAAGGGAAGGTTGTTTTAATCATTACATTTAACTTTTCTAGAATTTCTATTTTTTTTCTTTTCATTGAAATCTTTTAAAAATAAATTATGATTGATATTTTAAATAAAAAAAAATTCCTAAGAATTTGCCATTATTAGGCACATTAAACCAGCTTATAAATATAATTAATGCATGCATACCAAAGTTTTGCCGAAGAGGTCAAGCTGTTTGACCCAGTCATCAACACGGGATTTGATTGGTCCGACGTGACGGGAGCTGGCAATGGTTGCTATGTTGATGTTGCTGTCGTCAAGGAGCTGTTGGATTTCATCAGTCCCACCAAGGATGAACACATCCCTGCTATCTTTGTGGAAGAGTACCATGAACTCTGTGGTCTTCCACGAGTCCTCAACCTACAATAGAGCATCAGACACCATATAACGGTTGTCATAGGAGCGGGAAAAATCCACGGCCAGAACGTGGTTTGAACCCGAGACTAGATGGACCTCTATCAATTGAGCTACTTGGTCGCCGAAAATCGACCCAATCCAATACATTCCTTCTTCCTTTTTTCTAAGTTTTCGCCCCCGAAGACACAACTATTTACAACCCAGGTTTGGGTATCCCATTGTCAAGCATTCGCCAAGTTCTTGAAACAAGGATTGGTCACAGGCACCAAAAGTAATAGGAGTGAAAAAGAAAAGCACAGCCAGACCAGGGTTTGAACCTTGGGTCCTCCTGACTCTAGATGGACGCTCTACCAATTGGGCTACCTGGTCGCTGGGCGTCAACCCAGTCCAGTTCCGCTACACTGTTATATCTTATCTAGGGGTGAAAGCACCTCTATCCCAGGAAAGTTTAACACTAGAAACATGTAAGATATTTAGAACATATAACATTATCTTTACTGCCTAGGGAATAAAGACTATGTTTGTGACTCAACCTTTTTGAGGATGCTCTCCAGACTGGCCTCCGAACTGGCCTTGCCTGAAACCTCCTGGAGAGCCTCGGCATTCTTGAATGCCTGTATGTCGGTGAGTTTTCCCAAGGTGAGGGGATCCTCTGGGGTAAATTTGTGGTCGAGTATATTCTCAATCATTTCCCAATGGCGAGGCTTCAGTGTCGGGTTTCTTAAGTCCGTTATCACGGGCAGCTGTAACAAAACAATATTACCAGAACTTAACACATAATGCTCATACGTAACGGTCAACAGTTACTCCATAGTTTAGATCTCCTTAAGTCTAATTAGTATGGTGTAGGATTAAGCAAAACTTTCACTCTCAATTATCTCCCCTAGGGAACTCTCCTTGCCTGACAAAAGGCTGTCAACCTCCTTCCTAAATGGTGACCATGCAGTTAAAGTAACACTTAACTTACGATTAATTTTACTGAAATGAATGTAAATGTCTTTTTTAACTTGATGTCCTACACATCTGTCTTATTTTATAGATACATATTAAGCTTAACAAGTTTTTCATTAGCCACCATAAAACAAGAGTACTGCGGGGCGGAACAATATACGCCCGTCGAATACCATATAGTGTTATATACTTTCTTACATTGAAATAAGATCTGCATCATTCTAAGAGTGGTAAGCTGACATGCTATAAAAAATGTAGGAGAAAATCTCTGGACAATAAATCAAATACTGAAATGAACAAAGGGCAATTACTTTTGCAAAAATTATCAAATCAAAATTCTTTTAAGGGAGACACAACTTCATATCATGATTATAATGTTTACTAAGTTTCAAAGAGATCGGTTGAAAAATGTAGGAGGAGATTGCCGGACAAACAAAAGCTTACGCCGAACGTACGACCCCATACCATAATACTTTCGTCAAATTTGACGGACGTATAAAAACAGTGCCATCATTTTTATACATGGACCACCTGATGCTGTGATCCCACTGATATGTACAATTTGATGATGAAATCCGATTGTAAATTGGTGAGGTTCTCCAAAAAAACCCAGCTGTCTTCACCACAAAGATTAAGATTAATAAGATCCCTTGGGGATGAATAGGGAAATCTCAACCCCAGGGGGAAGATTCTTAAGTTGCCAAACACGAGGCTTTGCCCGAGGGTTGAGATTCCCCTATTTCACACCCAAGGGGATGAGAGATTCTTTATCTCTTACCCTGTTCCCATTGTGTAGCATGTAAATATCGTAAAGTTAGAGTTACAGGCTAAATTCCGGGTTGAAGTGACGCTGACGAATTGTTGACACGATGTCATTGTATTGTTGACATGAGGTCATTGTATTGTTGACGTGACGTCATACCATTGTTATGAATAAGGATCCCCCCATCTCAACCCTAGGGTGAGACAAGGATATCTCACACCAGTAAAAGAGTGGATACACTTGTCCAGGGTAAGAGAAAGATTCTTCTCTCGCACTTTACAGGTTTGTTTCAGTTTTTGCTAGGGCAAAGATAAACTTGTCTTTACCTACCAAGGGAAAGACAGCTCTAACGCTATTATTCCAAAAACGACACCATTACATTGTCGCATATGCAGTGTAACCAGAGTAGCATTATCAATTTCATTACTCATTTAACGCAACCTTAATGATGGCATGGTGCATCCGGTTCACCATTATTACTTATGAAAGTAGGAAAGTTTGGTAGAAAAATAATCATCCACTTCTGTGTGTTACTGACAGAGAAATCTTAGACCTTGTGATTAGATTTTTGAAGTTAAGCACTCGGTAAAGCCTCATGTTAAACTTCAAAAATCTTAACCCTGAGTTGAGATTTCTTTGTTTGCATCAAACAGGAGTTGCAGATTCTATTTATCTTTTCTCTACTACCATCAGTACAACTTACCCTCTCTCTCATTTCCTCGACCTTCTCTTTGAGTACCGGTACGACCGCGTTAGGGGGCAGCCCTTTTTCCAGCTGCATCACAGACTTGGCATACCTCATTGTAGTTGATGACATGGTTTCGGGATCCAACGTCTCAAACGGAACGGTGGTCCAGTCCAGGAGGAGATTGTCCCAGTCGTCAATAGCGGTCCACAGCAACTCCTTCAGTTTGAGCTCAGCATGAGCTTCCTCTAGTGCGTCAAACTTAGTCACCTCTACCTTAAAGTTCTTTTGATATGATTTGTAGGTGAAAGCACGTTTCTGGAGGTCATCCATTTGGGTCAATAAGCGGGACAGAATATTCTTCACTTTGTCCTTCTCGGAGTTCACATCTAAGATCATAGGGTTCTGTAACAAGAAAAGACAATATAGAAATAGTAAACCATCATCTCCATAGGTAGACAAAGTTACTAAATTAGCATCCAAATCATATACAATTGCAATGTTTAAATTTATGGGAAAATCAAAGATAGAACAAAACGGTTTTTTTATGTAATTTAGTGTATGTCTTCTTTTATAATTTTTACGTTTCTCATATCAGTGCGTTTAAAATTATCCTTTCAATACATAAAACTTCAGACCATTGACAATTGGCTTTGACCTTGACCTTCAACTATGGTGTTTATGTGTTAAATTGCTATGCATTTTTGAAATGAAATCCCTTTAAAAAACTAGCAACAATAAAGTACAAATGTTCAAAATAGATAAAATGTAATAATTTCTGTATTAAAACTTCAGATAAACGGTTCTTTTATTCCTGAAATTTATCCTGATATTTCCTACCGAGGCTTCACATTTGACCCTCAAACACATATTTCTGGACCTTGTGTTTGATCTTGTGTTTGACCTTGTGTTTGACCTCTGACCTAGGCTTCATGTTTGACCCCTAACTGTATTTCTTCACCTTGTGTTTGAACCCTGACTCTTAGCAAGGCCTCACATTTGATCTAAAAAACCCTTACCTTGACATTGTGTTTTACCTAGGCCTCACAATTGGTATCCACCTTTTCCTTGACCCTGTTTTTGACCCCCTAACCACTTTCCTGGGCCTCCTGGCTGACCATTAGCCCCCTTTCCTTGACCTTGTGTTTGACCCCTAACCAATTACCTTGGCCTCATTTTGACCTCTTACCTCCGTCCTTGACCTTGTGTTTGACCCCTAACCAATTACCTGGGCCTCATTTTTGACCTCTTACCTCCTTCCTTGATCTTGTTTTCGACCCTTAGCCACTTACCTGGGCCTCCTGTTTGACCTCCTTGACCTCCTTCGCTAGTTCTGCGATGTCCTTGTCGAGATGGGTACAGAACTTGTCAATGTTGGCATCTCGTTCAGTCAGACTCTTGTCAATGGCGTTTCGCACATTTGTAATGCTCGGACTCAGCGTCTACACAACACAAGACAGTAAACATTTAACTGTAATACTTTAGTTCACATTTAAAAATTGAAAAGTCTTTGTATTTGTCCAGTGTTGAGGACCCATGAAGACTTATATAACAGTTGATTGTAAAATTTTAAAATTTTGTCACTCTAAGGCATCTGATTCATCCCTATCTCTTGTTAAAGAGTGATAAGAATGGTGAAAATAAAACAAGGATAACATTTCCCATTGTAAATCCTCCCTTACTAAACATTCCTTTGTAACAAGTATGATCATAGTAAATGTGTTTATTGTACATATACAACAATAATACTGTACATATTCAGCAATAAGCCCATACCTGGTTATAAGCCCATACCTGGTAATAAGCCCATACCTGGTTATAAGCCCATACCTGGTTATAAGCCCATACCTGGTTATAAGCCCATACCTGGTAATAAGCCCATACCTGGTTATAAGCCCATACCTGGTTATAAGCCCATACCTGGTTATAAGCCCATACCTGGTAATAAGCCCATACCTGGTAACAAGCCCATTCCTGGTAATAAGCCTACCCATATCCATTGCAATTATATAGATATGCTGAAATATACTATTTTATACTCCTGTAATAAGCCCACCTCCCTAATTTGCATCCAAAATTATGTGTCGGCCCTCTGGGTTTATTGGAGGTTAAATACAGTCATTGTATACCACTAACTGTTCTGTTTAGCTTGTACTTCTGAATAATTTATTTTGCACTGATAACATGAAAAGACACAGCTAAGTTGGGGACAAAAATTACAAAAAATTAACAACGCAAAATTACGCCAAATCTGAAGTGATTGACGGGCTGAGATTACCTGGTAGACAGCGAAGTCCTCGGGAGGAGTTGGGACGTTGTACAACTCTATCAACTCGTACATGTCCTTCACAATCATTGCCTCCTTCTCTGCTGGATCAATCTGTAACAAAGGGGGATAACTGAGGTACAAATACAGGGGTCACACAACCAAATCTCATCTATACTTTATCTCACAAATTTTTTATGGAGGCACCTTTTCCAGTACAATCAGAGTATGACAAAACACGTCAAATATAAACTCAGTAAAAATTGTTGTCCTTGTGACAGAGATTAGGTTTCAACTATTGATGCTATTAAGCTATTGCCAGAAATTCAATCCATATTAAATCGTTAAACAAAACCACTGAAGTTTGACTCCATCAGATTGAAGAACAACAGTTTAACAGGCGATGTTAAACAAGTTGCTTTGTTTGGTTGTTAAGAAACAAGCTTCACAAATTTTTATTTATAAAATGAAATGGAAACAAGTTTCAGATTCTGTTAAGTGTTAAGTGATTTGTGAACCGCTTTGAGACGAACTAACAACTAGGTTGTGGCAAAGAGGTATATAAGAACCCCAACTTATTATTACCTTTATTATTATCATATCATGGCATCTGACAATGAATATTACTTATATTTTACATGAAGTTGAACTTGAGTTGACCGACACTTCACTTTAATGACATTTTTTTCAAATCTAACATAACTTTATGACACACACTTACCCTGACTTGAATGTCGTCCAGGAAGGTCAAGGTCTTTACAAACTCCATAGTTGTAGTCGGTGCAAATTCTAACTTGAACTGGGCGTCCTGTAGCTCAGCGATCAGACGGTTCACCTCGTTGTGGGCCTTTATTGGCAGTAGGTCATTCACCACCTGTCAGGGCATAGACAATATTACTGTAGATTGGTCAGGGCAGAGACAATATTACTGTAGATTGGTCAGGGCAGGGACAATATTACTGTAGATTAGTCAGTTCATAGACAATATTACTGTAGATTGGTCAGGGCAGAGACAATATTACTGTAGATTGGTCAGGGCACAGACAATATTACTGTAGATTGGTCAGGGCATAGACAATATTACTGTAGATTGGTCAGGGCAGAGACAATATTACTGTAGATTGGTCAGGGCAGAGACAATATTACTGTAGATTGGTCAGGGCAGAGACAATATTACTGTAGATTGGTCAGGGCAGAGACAATATTACTGTAGATTGGTCAGGGCAGAGACAATATTACAGTAGATTAGTCGGGGCATAGACAATATTACAGTAGATTGGTCAGGGCAGAGAATTACAGTAGATTGGTCAGGGCAGAGACAATATTACTGTAGATTGAACTATAAGTAAGGTAAAGCAATTTAAAAACTTAACATGGATAGCTGAAAAATGTGAGACCTGTATTTCAGTGTTAAACTTGAAAAGAAACACAAGTCATTTCCAAAATTGAGAAGAAAAAGTTGCATTCCACCGAGACTAAATTTTTGCAGCAGTGCTGTATAAGACTAGCAGTAGTGCTGTACTTACATCAAGGCAGCGTAATGGTGAAGGTATCAACAGGTTCTTCATCTTGGTGCCATCGACCAGTAACATCCCGATTGGTCGCTTCTCCTTGATCACCTGGGCCATGCGGTGCTGGCCGTTGTAGCGTTCCAAAGCCTCCGTGAAGAATGCAACATCTGTAAGTGGAAAAACAGCAGAAAAGTAACAAATGGTTCTAGGACAAACCAACACACTGGAATTAAAAAAAAAAAGAAATAAAAAAATCCTTGTGAAACAAGTCAAAGTATTACAAGGCAATTCATAGTCCCTACCAGTCATGATTTCTGTATTTACTATAAGCTGTACACCTATCTCAGGGTTACCTACTGTAAATGAAGTATCTTGATACACAGTAGGGCAATTTTTCCAGTGATTGCCAACAACTATTATTTTCCGTTATATTTGATATTCACATTTAGAGGGCTATATATATGACTTCTATTTGGTTGGTATATATTTCTCATTTATAGCACTACATCTTTTGGAAAAGGATGAATTGAGCAGTAAGGTAGCATATCTCCTTAATTCTTGTCAGTGAGGAATTAACCCATTCACCCTTGAAGACACAATTGAACTCCTCCAATTCAAAGGTTTGAATGGTTCATTATGAAATTTCAGGGGTGAATGAGTTAAGTTTGTCTATGTAGCCTACCATGTTCCTGTGTTTTGACAGCCTCCAGGTCCATGCTTTCGTTCTCCCTGAAGAATTCGCGGTGAGGTTCGAAGGTGTCCGCGTACTGTGAGGCGGCATTGAAGGCGGCTGCTGTAGCATCCTGAGAACAAACAACAATCATTGGTAATGGTCTAAATCTTAATACTGTTTTCATAGGGACAGTCCTTTTCTGTATTTCATATATTTTATACATGATACACATTTTGGTTGAAAAAGAAATAGAAATAGGAAACTTGAAATCTTCACCACATCTTTTTTATTTGAAATAAAATTATTTGAAAAAATTATAAAAATGTGGTGTTCATTAAAAGAATCTCATTTGGCGTATTTTGAAAGTAAGCGAAATAGACATAAATCCTTTTATTTAAAAAAATATCCAAAATACAAGTATCAAAAATATTGTAACCTTGAAATTAGAAGATTTAAAATTAAACTTCAGATTGAAAAAAAAATTGAGTTCCGATAACAGGTCCTGATGCTGAAAAAAATGTGGGCGTGGCTCACCTTGATGTTATCTATGATGGTGTTCAGATGTTTGTCATCCTCGAACATGGTAGTGAGGCTCGGTCCATCACCGCAACTCTTCTCCTCAAATTTGTTGTTGATGATCGGCCTGCAAAACAAAAATACCTAGATATATGTCACGACACAACCAACACCTAAAACAGCTGGCTCACTTTCAAAAGAAAAAACAAGTTTAGAGGAAAACTCTGCAATGTTGCAGGCCCTTACAAATCTAGTAATAGTATCATATTTTCCTAATGAGATTAGGACACTTTCCTTCCCAACTTATTCAAATCAGCCTTAATATACCCAAGAAAAACCTGCTCCCGGGTACATTAGTATAACATAAGCAGTTAAAAGTGTGTTCAGTGGGCTATAGAGCTAGAGTTCAACCAGGTTTCTAGGCTACAATGTAAATGAGAGTCAATGTCTCTTTCCTAAGAGGACACCAGTTTTTCACAGGGTTACTTCCAAGCAAAAAGTGGTACCTACTTCTACAGCTGGGTAGACCAGAACCAATCAGGGTCAAGTGTCTTGCTTAAGAAAACAACAGTAGAATAACTTCTATTTCCATGATTAGAATCAACGATCTTTTAGTCAGTAAGCAGGCATATTAAAAATATATATTTTTTATTGTTGTCCTCAAAGTGAGATAATTTACCTCGTAAAGGCATCAAAGTAGGTGTCAGGTACAAGATTCTGTACGGAGAGGACGGCATCTTGGAATTTCTGGATCACATCCTTCAGACCCTCCTGGAAGTCCTCCAGGTCCGGCTGGAACAGGAGTTGGTTCGGCTCCAGGACAAACTCAGATATAAACAGTGGTGGGGCCTGAGGAACTTCATCATCGTCCTACCAACCAATCACAAAGGTCGTTCAATCACAAAGGTCAACCAATCAATGATCGTTCAAACAGAAAGGTCAACCAATCAAAGGTCGTTCAACCACAAAGGTCATCCAATGACAAAGATTGTCCAATCACACAATGACATTATTATTATATATATCAGGTCCTGGAAAAACAAGCTCAAAATTTGTTATTTCACTCTTGCACCCCTGAAATCCCATAATGAACTATTCCAACCTTTAAATAGGAGGAGTTAAAATGTGTCTTCAGGGGTGAAAGAGTTTTGAAAGGAGGACTGTGCACATTTATTCATATTTGATATGCATTCATTGAAAAATAAATTCAATTTTCAGCATTTAACACAAGTTGATTAGAATATTATGTAAGTACACAAATGTAGAATTAATACAACATAACAGCACCTGATATTAGAACATTCCTTTCTTATCCTGAAAAAAATAAAACATTTTTGACAAGTGTTGTAAGTTTTGAAAATTTGTGAAAACTCTTTCCGTACTGTAGTTGATAAGATCAGTCAGAGATTCTTTCCCCTTTATTTCCCCGTATTTGCGTATTGTAGAGTTATCTTCTCTTGTGAGCAGGTATTGATTGTTGTTACATCATTGGTTTGTGTGAGAAAATTACGTCGTTTTCTCAAAAATTGATGACGTTTCTCTCACAAACACATGCCGTGACAATCAATACCTGCTCATAAGAGAAGATAACTCTTCAATACGAAAAGACGGAATAATACTATAATAACACACAATATTTACATATACTGCAATGTATAATTCACAAAATAAGTCTATGGTGACATTTACTTGCTGATTTAATTTACTATATATGAAAGAACTCAATGAAAGTATAAAATCAAATTCAAGTAATTCCTTCAGTTACTTTGGATAAATATATATAAATGATTTAGGATTTCAAATTAAAATTTATCGATTCTGATGTTCAGTTTCAAAGTTGGTGAAAAGAGTAAAAATGAGGGTAGGGGTATACCCTAAAGAGACAACTATATATTAATGAGAATTTTTCTGAAATGGAAAATTTGTGGCACTACCACTAGCTACACAGAGAAAATACAGAGATGTACTACAGTTAAAGATAAAGAGCAAAACACATTTTTTTCTTGACTACTCACAAAATATTATAGCAGATAATTTGTTACGTGACATATGCCTTATCTTGTTCTTATTTTAGAAAATAGTCCTACATGTAGAGTTTTGGATTTTGTTTGACTAAAAATCTCAAAAAAATTCAATACAGATTTAATACTGTAAAGGAAGCTAAATCATGAATGATTTAACTTACCAGGTACTAGGAAAATTTTATATAAGGAAATAAAGTATAATATTTGTTTTTGATTTTTTTTTTTTAAAGTTTTTAAGAAGAGATTTAATTATGAGACTTATTTTCGTTATCTTACAACCATAGACAACACTGTCCCAATACCTATGCATTTTAAATCTATGACTTAATACCTAAATAAAACTTATAATAAAATATTAGTCAATCACTATCTAGATTAAATATTTAATTTTGTTTGATGATCTGACCCCAGGATCATAAAAAAGTCTCAGGCTCAATAAAAGATTTTGAATATCATCAAAATAAATACATGTACCGTACTTCACTTGAAAATCATTCTAAACTTGTTGAAAAAGTTAATATTAATGAAATGTACATGTACATATATGATATATATATTTTGACATGAAAATGAAATATTAAACAACATTCAAATTTGGACCTTAACTCTTTCTAGATACTGAGGATTTTTTTTTTTTTGACACTTGAATGTCACTAAGATTAATTAATTTTCTTTAAAGTAAATAAAGTCAAGGCACACCTTTTCCATGATTTTAGGCCTTTAACATATTTATTTTTTTCAACTGTAAATATGTATAAAATCAATAATACAACCATAGATATAGTTACCCCATTTTAACACTGTATGTTATTGTTTGAACAGAATACAAATATCAACGATAACAGAAACATAAAACACTTTTAATGAAACGACAATTTATACGAGGTCAACATTCCACCTCTTCATAACTATATAATTATCCCCTTAAGTCTCTAATTTCTACGACGTCCTCATTTCTGGCACTAAACCACCATCACCATTGCAATGTCTAACAATAAACTAACTGGTATTATCTAGTGACTTCTGACAGTACTGGCTTTTGATTATACAGTTACTGACTTGGTTTGAGGTCAACAGAAGTACTGCTAAACCCAAATGTCAGATCACAGTTATTAGCACTAGCCTGACTGAGGGTCTAGCAATTACACTTCTATTGCCTGAAAAGAATTTGGACAGGTCAACAATAGATGACTCATTTTTTGAGATTTTTTTTTTAAAATAACCTTATTTTACCAAAGCAAAAAAAAGTATTTCATTATTCATTTTTAATAAGGTTTTTGAAAAGGTCAATAACTGTACCAGGTAATACCAAAATCAAAATTACAATAAACGGGACCATGTTCAGCTTTGATTTACATTGGCAGTGGATTTCATTTAGTGACTGCAAGCAATGATTTTTAGGGGGTTCAATAGTTTACATTTTGAGACAAAAGTTTCAGTTGTTAAGTCACTAGATAAACTAAAATGTAATAAGTGAAGTAACTAAATAAAACTATGTGTAGTAAGTGTCTTAAATTTGGGCATAATTTGACATAAAGCTACAATATTAATTTAAAATTCATTTTTTCTATTGTTTTTAATTAAACATTCCTGAAACAACTGTAGCCTTTAAGACACTTACGAAATAACAGTTTATATATCACAGGTCAGCAGGTCAGCAGTAGGTCAGCAGAAAAACAGTGGCCTTCATTTCTCAAAAGTAAATCAATAAAAAGGATCCGACTTCATTTTCTGAATTACAATTTTTGCCATTTAACATATTATACATTTATTCAAATGTGATTATTAATAAATTGTGTATCTTTTTTATTTTGAAACAAACAATCCCTTAAAAGACTTTTTTTATTTATTTTTTTGAATTAATTTAAATGAACCAAATTTTCAAGTTTAATTTTTTTGGCTTATGAAAAAAATTTAAAAAGACATTAGAAATGAAAAGGTGTTTTTTTCAAATAAAATAGGACAAACACGCTTACTGAGAGCTACTTTTCCAAAGAAATCAAGGCCATGTCTGTTTTGCTATTTTTTCAACCTCTTGCGTCCAACGTCTATATCGAGTTTGAGGTCAATATTTCTCCATGTGACTTGTGTTAGCAACTACATTTTGGTCTATAACTCAGTTAAACTTGACATCTCAGGTCAAAGCAACCAAAGGCATGTCAGAGGTCAAAGAAAGGTGACCTTTGACATTCAGAGGTCAAAGAAAGGTGACCTTTGACATTTCAGTGGTCAAATGTTAAGGGAAGAAGACCTTTGACATTCCAGAGGTCAAAAGGAAGAAGACCTACCGTCGTTGCCATAGTTTCAGTACTTTGAACTTCTTTCACCTTTTCTTTTTCATCCTTTTTAGACTGAAAGACCATGTCATTTGACTCCAAAATTTAGTAAAAGCCCACACCAGTAATTATTTCAAACATATATATATCACACAAGTAATGTTAGAGAACTGTATATCTGAGCTTCGATTTTACAGAGATATATTTTTCATTATATTCGTGCCTGAGAAAAAACACACCATCAAAATACAAGTCCCAAAAGTCTATAGTCCTTTGATCGAAAGTGTGCTAACCCGTTAAATATTAATATGTGGATGGAAATTTGATTCCTGACAAAACTTGTTGCAAGAACAAATCCATGTATGTTTGTCTCAGAGAAATTGAAGCTGTGTATATAGTATCATCATTACTGTTATATGGTTAGTTCAGATTAATTCAAACATATTTGTGACACAGATGATTAATTCAAACAGAGTAAGGACCAGGATGGGACTTTAATTGGACTGGGACATAATGGGTTTAACAAGGACTGGGAGTTAACGTGGTGTCTCGAGTAAGGCCAGACGTGGGTCTTACAAGATACATCACCATGAGGACATTATCAAACTGGGACGTTTATGACGAGATCAGGTCATTAAACCGAAGGAGTGTTAGTTAAGCGAATTTGACATTAATACTGGGAGTCAGGATAAAATCTGTATTTATCTTACTTCTGTATGCTTGGCCTGCAAAAATTGTATTGAACATGTTACACTTCTCCTCATTGGTTCATTATCCTGAACGTTGATGTCTCCTACGTTGTGATTGGCTATCTTTACTTAGCCTTTCACTCTGACATCAATCGACTCATACCAGTAATAAAATCTATTAATGCAATTGACCCAAATAATAACTTATTACATGCTTACTGCTCTAAATTTAAAAATTGAAATCTTACATTTAAACTAAAAATGAAACATTTAAATTTTGCGTTTGGTAATTACTATTCTATAACTGCTTTGTGTACCAAACAAACATTTACAGTTTGAGGCGTTTTCATTTTTATATATTTACATAGATATATTAGAATGATCGAAAACAAAGGTTTATTGAAACACAGCAAATGAAACAGCATGCTGAAAACTATGTACTGGAGTCCATTACAACAAGGTGTGGCAGATAAAATATAGATGGTTACAATATTGTGGTGACTCACTGTAGGCATATGTGGGGCACATGTGTGATAGTTTGGTGTAAGCATATGTGTGATGATGTATCATGTGCTTTTGGTGTTTGTTACCTTTTCAGCATCTGCATCTTCAATCAGCTTGTCTGCTTCTTCCTTGGCCTCATCGGCATAAGCCTGAATTTGAGCGATGGTTGGCGTGGCCGACAACTGCTCGGTGAGGTAATTCAGTAACGTGGACACAGAGTTCACAGCCAGAACATGCATTGTGTTTACAATGAGGTAGTCAGCCAGACGGATAAAGCTACAACAATATAACACTCACGTTTACAGTGAAACATTGACGACTTATTCAGTGAGGACAGTGAAACATTGGTGACTTATTCAGTCAGATGTTTACAGTTAAACATTGAAGAATTATTCAGTCAGATGTTTCCAGTGAAACATTTGTGACTTGTTAAGTCAGATGTTTACAGTGAAACATTGGTGACTTATTCAGTCAGATGCTTACAGTGAAACATTGGTGACTTATTAAGTCAGATGTTTACAGTGAAACATTAAAGACTTATTCAGTCAGATGCTTACAGTGAAACATTGGTGACTTATTCAGTCAGATGCTTACAGTTAAACACTGAAGACTTATTCAGTCATATGTTTACAGTGAAACATTGAAGACTTATTCAGTGAAATGATTACAGTGAAACATTAAAGACTTATTTAGTGAGATGTTTATAGTGTAACATTGGTTGACTTTCTTTGTGAGTTGTTCACAGTGAGAGTATATTGTTGACTTACTTCGTGAGCTGTTCACAGTAAGAGTATATTGTTGACTTACTTCGTGAGCTGTTTACAGTGGGAGCGTTTGTTGGCTTGTTCAGTGTAAGTCATTCTGTCAGGTGCCTCGCCATAGATGTCCATATCATAATTACTGGGCATGAGATAGCTGGAGGATGTCCCTGGAGCAGCATCACCTAGCAACAGTAAACAATCACTTAGCAACAGAAACAATCACCTAACAACAGTAAACAATCACCTGGCAACAGACAAGCACCTAGCAACAGTAAACAATCATTTAGTAACAGAAACAATCCCTAGCAACAGTTAATAATCACTTAGCAACAAAAACAATCACCTAGCAACAGTAAACAACCTCTTAGTAACAGTTAGCAATTGCCTAGCAACAGTAAGCAATTACCTGGCAACAGTCAGAAATCACTTAGCAACAGTAAATAATCACTTGGGAACATTGTACAGCTATCAAATTACCATTTTTGTTTGATAAAAGATCGAATAATTATTTCATTTTTAGGATCTTAACTTACATCAATTTACAGATTTGTGAACACGAAATGTCATATAAGAGTTTACGTTCATACCCATGAGACCGGGACTCTCGGCACCATCGTAGAAGTAATCGTCAGGCGTGAAGCCCGCCTCAAGGAGAGCAGTCCTACAGGCACTGCGTACTACCTCCTTCACCAGCTCACGGAACTCAGTCAGTCGACCCGCAACCTGTCAAATATCAGAAAACATACAGATAAATTTCTGGGATTGAATGGTCCTCTTTCTTATGTCACATTCATATTTGAATACAGGAAGTGCTAATCTTTACAATAGGACCCTCCTGGCCAAGATTTCTATTTTGCTTCAGTTTTAAGAGTATATTAATTTATTACTTATTTACGTTTAGCCAAATAAATATATGCAAATTTTTTTTCAATTAAATACACCAAAATAATGAAGAAAATTTTCAAAAAAATATTTTTTTAAATCTGATTGATGTGTCAAGGTATAACATGTGCAAAAAAATGTAATCAATAGTACAGGTTTTATTCTTCATTTTTTCCCCTCAAAACTAGAATTTGAGTTGTGATCCATACCTCTTCCAGCTGTTTGAACTGGGCGTCCTTGAAGTCATTGAGAGTGTAGGTGTTACCCTTCTCTACCTTACACAGACCCATGTCACTGATACGGTGACACATCTCTCGTACGTTCAGCAGTGCCGGCCGCAACGACTACAAGTACACACACAAAATCGTACGTCAATCTACTCTGCAATACTCCTGATAATGTTTTTGGTGGATTTTTTAAGTTGAAATAACAAAACATAACATGCAATGACTATGTTAGCAATTTTCTGGAAAACCAATTTTAACATTAACAGATTCAATGATACATGTACTGATATGTTAACAGGGTGCAAAAGATTACAGCATACTTTCCAATCCTCCCTATTAAGGACAGAGACTCCCGTTTGTGGACCCTTAAATTTAGTTTTTACAATCAATGAATTTGCTGAACTATTCATATTTTCTAACATCTCATGATTTATCTGAAAGAGCAACTCCAAAATTTATCATTTTAAAGGGTTATTTTGTCTCAAGGGGGTAAAACACACTTTTTTTATGTTTTTATTTTGAGCATGCAGAATCTGCCCCAGAGAAATTTGTTATACCCATCAATGATACAGTTAGCCTTTGGAAAATGTAAAGTACAGTGTTGTTGATTAGAGTAAACATGGTAAAGAGGAACAACCTACCGGGTTGACGATGAACAGGTTCTCGTTCAGAGACTTGGTGCAGGACTTCAGTCGCTTTGTTCTCACGTTTTTACGCCACACACTGAACGCTTTCCACTTCCTGAACAGCGCAAAAGTTCGGATCTGAAATAACGACGTGAACACAATTAATACCGTACAAAACAAATAAAGTATATATACAAGTATACCCAGGGGATTCAATTGAGGCAGTGTTTATAGCAGGTCATAGGTTATTTTTCAATCAGGATTTTTTAATAGAACTTCCAGGATTCACTAACTTTCCAAAGTTTATTCTTTAACCCCCCTCCCCCCACTCTCAAAATACAAAATCGGATCAGATTCAACTTTTAATTAAGTTTACCATAAATGATAATTTGATTTTTTGCCAAAGTCTGTCTCCAAGATTTCAACTTTTAGTGGCACTTCACCAATGAGATTCATGATGCACTTAAAACAGTAAATATATCAGGATATTTGTATAAAGAATATAATGCTGAGTCTGCAGTATACAGCGATGAGTTTAAAATTTCATATACAATGGAGCTTTTATATACATCCACCAATATTTTTTCAAATTTTACCTTCATAATTGGTAAAAATTAAGGGCGAAAATTAAGTGTGTGTAAATATTCATGGGTAAATTCTTCTATTCCCATTTTTACATTGACACTTTCTCCAAAAATTTAGATTAATATCTGTGGCCCTTTCACCATCCCTACCTTGACAGTTTCCCCTAAAACCTAGATTGATATCAGTAGCCCTTTTACCATCCCTACCTTGACAGTTTCCCCTAAAACCTAGATTGATATCTGTTGCCCTTTTACCACCCCTTCCTTGACAGTTTCCCCTAAAACCTAGATTGATATCTGTGGCCCTTACTTTCCCCAAAATCCTAGATTGATATCTGTGGCCCTTACTTTCCCCAAAAACCTAGATTAATATCTGTGGCCCTTTCACCATCCCTACCTTGACAGTTTCCTCTAAAACCTAGATTGATATCTGTTTCCCTTTTTCCGTCCCTACATTGACAGTTTCCCCTAAAACCTAGATTGATATCTGTTGCCCTTTTACCGTCCCTACCTTGACAGTTTCCCCTAAAACCTAGATTGATATCTGTTGCCCTTTTACCATCCCTTCCTTGACAGTTTCCCCTAAAACCTAGATTGATATCTGTGGCCCTTTTTCCGTCCCTACCTTGACAGTTTCCCCTAAAACCTAGATTGATATCTGTTGCCCTTTTACCGTCCCTACCTTGACAGTTTCCCCTAAAACCTAGATTGATATCTGTGGCCCTTTTACCGTCCCTACCTTGACAGTTTCCCCTAAAACCTAGATTGATATCTGTGGCCCTTTTACCATCCCTACCTTGACAGTTTCCCCTAAAACCTAGATTGATATCTGTGGCCCTTTTACCATCCCTACCTTGACAGTTTCCCCTAAAACCTAGATTGATATCTGTGGCCCTTTTACCATCCCTACCTTGACAGTTTCCCCTAAAACCTAGATTGATATCTGTGGCCCTTTTACCATCCCTACCTTGACAGTTTCCCCTAAAACCTAGATTGATATCTGTGGCCCTTTTACCATCCCTACCTTGACAGTTTCCCCTAAAACCTAGATTGATATCTGTGGCCCTTTTACCATCCCTACCTTGACAGTTTCCCCTAAAACCTAGATTGATATCTGTGGCCCTTTTACCATCCCTACCTTGACAGTTTCCCCTAAAACCTAGATTGATATCTGTGGCCCTTTTACCGTCCCTACCTTGACAGTTTCCCCTAAAACCTAGATTGATATCTGTGGCCCTTACTTTCCCCAAAAACCTAGATTGATATCTGTGGCCCTTTTACCATCCCTACCTTGACAGTTTCCCAAAAAACCTAGATTGATATCTGTGGCCCTTACTTTCCCCAAAAACCTAGATTGATATCTGTGGCCCTTTTACCATCCCTACCTTGACAGTTTCCCAAAAAACCTAGATTAATATCTGTGGCCCCTTTACCGTCCCTCCCTTCGACTCTTTTACTATGCCAACCTTGATAAGTTTCTGAAAGTAGTGAAATTCCTGTTCCCAGCGGTCCAAGGTGACAAACTCTGTTTCGTCGTCATTCCTCATGCGGGCCGCACCCTGCTGGCTGATTGTGCAGTAGTCCGCTTTGTTGATATTTTCATGGTTCACGACCCTGAAATAATATATATTTAGTCACATAAAGTCAATCTTATATACGGTAGTCACACATGTAGTAATGATTATTTTATTTGAGGTCGTGTTAGTTTTCTCATTGAAGATTTCGTTAGACTTCGAAGTTGTTTTAGACTTTGAGTTTGTTTTAGACTTGGAGTTTGCATCAAATTTGAGGCAGACTTTACTTGAAGTTGGTTTAGACTTTACTTGAAGTTGGTTTATATTTTACTTGAGGTTGTTTTATACATTGAGGTTGCATTAAACTTGAGGCAGACTTACTTGAGGTTGTAGTAGTGGTATTTGACGGATGTTTTTGGCACGGCGGGACTGAGGTACATAAAGCCTACGCCTCTGTCGGCCTTGATAATGTCTATTATTTCCTGGGCGTCACACAGTCCCTCAAATGACTCCAGCACTGCACAGAAACCAACACACACACTCTGAATAACTTACACAACACCAATAAGTTGAAAACACTTTCTCCATTGTTCAATATACAAGCTGAACATTTTACAATCTTACACAGCAAGTTTTTCAAACTTAATCTAATACAGCCTAATTAATGACTGTGTTTTCTGCTCATTAAAAAATTACAAAAAAAAGCAAAACTTTCAGAAGTTGAAATTTTTCGCATCTGTCAAAATGAGCAGAAAAGTTCATTTTACCAAGTAAAAAGTTTACTAAAAAGTTACAAAAAAGGTTATAAAAGTTTAACCATTAGAACTTTATAAAAAATAACATAGAAAAATTATGAAAAGTTTCTGTATTATTATGAATACTAATATATTCAAGTTTTGTTACTCAAAAGTTCACAAAATGTTACAAAAACATCTAGAAAGTAAAAGAAAAGTTACTGTATGCACTGGACATGCAATAATTTTGGTTGCACATTTGTATTGAATAACTCTATCTATTCAGAGTGCATCCTCGATACTCCAGGGGTTACGTTCACTTTAGCTCTCTGCACCTCTGGAATATGTCATAGCAAAACTGAAGACTCAGTGTGCACCACCTTATGGATGAGACGAGATGACGAGTTTAATATTTTGATATTCATCAAAGGAATCTCACAGTCCCCCAACGGTAAAATTGATTGGCTTTGAAGTCAGGTGTTGTTCCTCTGTAATCTTCAAAGGACAGGTATCAGCCTAGCGATTGGTCTGGTTTTTTCACCTGAGACCAATCAAATAGCTAACCATGTGCCTTCAATTTTGCTTTGACATATTCCAGGGGTGCAGAGAGCAAAAGTAAGCGTAACCCCTTGATATCGAAGATGTTCAGAGTGACACGAATCCTGACACAAGTATACTTACTTTTTGGTTTGGTTGACTGTGATATCTTTGGTCCCTGGGCGTGAGCCTTGCTTCTAGGGGACGCTGGTTTGGGGGATTTGGGAGGAGTTGGCATCTTTATTAGGGATTCCTGAAGTGAAAAGAACAAGTTCAAAACAACATGAACTAAATGAATAGATGTAACATTAAATAAGAACTGTGGAACAATTTTCATAAGATACCTTCACCAAAACACTAACAGACCAATAAAACGTCTCTACGCTCATTATGATATTTCACCACACATATTTTCCCTATTTCTAAAATACCTCAAAATATACCCACTGAACACAGTCCAATAAATTTAGAATTTATACATCACAGACAATAGCTATAGGTCTATGATATTTAGATTTCTTAAAGACCCACTCCAGTTTTGACAGACAAGATATTGACCAAGATTTTTTAATTTATATATTGTGTTAAATAACATGTAATAAAATGTAATAACAAAGAAAGACAAGAAATGTCACAGGGGACTTCTTTTCAAACTTCCATACTCTTCATTCAATACAGACTCATAAACATTGTGGGACAGAACTTCATAGACAACTTGGTACACAAAGTAAGTGATATTCTCATGTTTTTCATGGTAATTGTCTAGGGGTCTACCCTTAGGTTCGAACACTGTGAACATTTGTTATTATAAGAAATACTTTGACATCTGACCTGTTTGGTTTTGAGATCCTCCGGAAGTTCCGGTAGGGGAGACTCTGCACTCCTTTCCAGGGGATCCAGGACCGATCCCTGTCGTCGCATTTTCTTGGAGGCTGGCTCATCTTTCTGGATGAGTGTTCCCCTGGCTGATTGCTCTTCTCGGAATTTCCTCTGTAGAAACTCCGGCTGGTTCCTCTCTTGATATTTCTTTAGGCTAGGCTGCAATTACCATAAAACGTCTTAATTGTCGTGTTGTGAGGCCATTATTTTTTTAAACAAGACTCATGCATTACTGTCGCTTTGTAATCACCTAATGTTAATTTAGTGTAAGGCCAAATAAGAAAATATATACATTGTATGTTTCATGTTATTTGTACTCCATGTAATTAGTAATCTCTGCCAATTCTCTGTTAAAATGAAGAATATTTACGAAGTCCAGTTGCCATCTAAAATAAGATTCAATTTGATACACCATTAGCTCATTTACCCCTGAAGTTTCATAATGAACTATTCCAACCTTTGAATTGGAAGATTTCAAATGTGTCTTCAGGGGTGAATGAGTTAAAACTAGAGTAACTCCAAATATAATTTTTACTGTTAATGATTTAGAATAGTTATAGAAAATTTTATTTTTATTTTTTCTTTGAAATGTAAAACGTAGTAACTTACCACTGGTTCAAAGTTTGTGGCCCCAGGACTTTTACCTTTCTTCATCTGAGCTATTGTGACCCTTCCAAAACTGCAAACAAAAAATCATTTAGTATGCTCAGAACTAGATTATATAATTACCATAATGTAAATTCCATGTAATTTGTATGCTTTCAAAAAATATGCATCAAGGTAAAAGCTAGAGATGTATATATCTTAAATAAGTTTATACTTTCTAATTTTTTGTTTTCAGACAGATATATATTGAGCCACCATCTTCAGATGACATCATTACCGATTTCCATTTCCCAGATGTAAACTTTTAATTGATTTATTAAAACATATGTAATTGTAGGTAAATTTGTTGTTAGAAAAGTGTTTTTTTTATATATATAATCATCCGGTTATTTTTTTATTTATTTTTATTGGTATTTGATTTTTATCAAAGATGATACTTTTTTTCAAATTCCTCTGCAATGTATAACTAGATTTATGACAGCTACTGCCGGTAGAAATTGTTAAAAATGTAGAATTATGAGGCTGAATAATGGAATTATCTTTGTAGTATATTTTTTTTTTATTGAAGTTTCGTCAAACCTACTTTAGAGAATTGGAATGTCTTTTTGCTTGCTGTGGTGCATAAGAATGCAAGCGTTTCTTCAGAGCCTCTGGGTCAATAGTCCTCAAGCCCATTGGCTGACTGCTTGCCACCTGACCATTCTGTGATGTGCCGTTCACCTCCATACCATCCATGAGTGGCGTTCCAAAGGCCCCGTTCATGCTGTGGCGGGTCGGCTGTGGTCTGTAGGACATCCTACTGTTTGATTGTTCTGAAAATTTAAAAGAACAAAGTAATTACAAATTCAGGTACTAGTAGATTTGATTTAAGAAATACAATAGTATCAGAATTCCAGAATATTTTATAAACAATCAATTAACTCTTAAATAAAAAATATTTTAGAGTATATGTGAAAACTTTATTTATACTGTAGAACACTGAAAAGGTCACACAGACCAGAAATGTTAACTAAATACTGAACATCAAGTCCGCAGTAAAGTTTTGAAAAACATTTTTAAAGTTCTTTACTGATTACCATGACAAAATCTTAATTTTAGAGTCACAAAAGTATCAGAATAAGTCTAGATTTAAATACTGTAAAAGCATAATATTACGTTGGGGATTTAATTTCGTTTATTTCATGGTTTTCAGAAAGGAGTGGACAGGTGAACACCTCGGGCGATGTACGGTTAGCCGGACCTATTGTCTTATAGTCCAGGTGTCAAACAGAAAAAAACCTAGGTTTGAAAATATTGATTCCACGAAATATAATCCCCACAAATTTGTCCCAAAACAAAAACAATGAAATTTAACCCCAACGAAAATATATGCTTTTATAGTATATATATATATACTATCAATTTATCAAAACCTATTCTATTTGGTCTGGCTATTTTTAATAGAATTTTACAGTTCATTTCATTTCTGCAGTCACTTCATTTTGTGTGAATTTATCCATTATCAATAAAGATAAATAAAATCACTATTCGTCCCAGATCAGTACATGGTGTTTTATCAAGTTCATAATCATTAAAGAAAATCACACATTCAGCAATAGTTGTAAATGATTGTTCCTGTTCTGTAAATTTCCCCTATGAGCTCACCATTAATTTCAAATTGTGTCAAGTACGTTAAAGAAATGATATATTGACACCTAATATGTTTATTTAAAAGCCTTAAAGTAGTGTTGCTGTTTGTGAATGTAATAATAATTCAATCACTTAGTGTTTTTTTTCTGTAATGCAACACCCCTACCCTGATTCCAAATGTTATAACAAAAATAATGAATTATTTATCAATCACCTTCACAGAATCAAATATATTTTACAAATCAAGACACGTTTAAATACCATGGTTAATCAATAAATGTATCTTGGGTGTATATTTATTTATATATTTTGAATACTTGCCTGCAGGTTGATTTCAAAAAGTTGTACTAGCCAGATCTATATTTCCATGATTAACATTGAACATTTTCACTAGCTCCAATATAAATGTACTGGCCCCGGACGTCAGTTAGAGGAATTGTACACCTCAGACCTCTGTACATGTACCGACAACGTTGTGATTATACAATAGTCAAACTGGCAAAAAAACACTAATCTAACATGATAATAATAACGACGCACTTCTTTTGGCAACATATGTGAATTTGAAATTATCTGAAATTTGATCTAGGTATAAATTGTGTAGCAGTGCCTATAAATAACTGTACAGAATTCATTAAGATTTTTTTAGCCATATATATCTTCTAAGACTTCTTTAATTGAGAAAAATACGAAAAATCAAGATTGAAAAAATTTGGATAACTTTGCAAAATGAATGAAATTGACCAGTTTTCTTTCATTTTTGGCACCATTCTTCCTTGTAGGGGGGCTGAGGAAACTGATAACATACAGACTAACAGAGCACCGTGCCAAAAAGTGCCAACATTTTTTTACAGTTTATTCTGTGAACTTTTCAAACTAAAGTGCCAATCAAATACTGCTGTCTTTTCAACCGTACTACTACTTTAACTCGTTTATACAAATCGTTAATAGACAATATTTCAATGGTATGTATAAGTTAGCCCTTTAGTTCCAATTTTTTATCAAAATTTATGTCAATTCATGAAAATGTTACTCTACAAGAGGCGCTATTTCCCCTATTAATCAACCAATTTGAATATTTACAACATTTATAATGCATGATATTATAGGTTAGAATATGTTTAATTAATACCATACCTTGACAATACAAATAAACCTTCTAATGTTGTGTTATTTGAAGCTAAACGGCACAATTTACACATTTCCGAAACTTGTTTTCATGCAAGTCGCCGCCATGTTGCTTCTTGATCGCTTGGCAACGACTAAACTTAATATTCAATTCTCGTCTGAAAGTACGAATATATTAACAGGATTGATCATTCATATTTAAATTGAAAATAAACTATATCCGATCCATAATAATACAAGGCAAAATATTTTATTATTTCTCGCTGATACGAGATGTGTATATTTTTACGGAAATTGATAAAGGTGAAGGTCATCTTGTAGTATCTTGCTGGGGAAGGAATTTCTGGACTGAAGTTGAACATCCTGTAATATCAGGTAGTGTATCTCTTTTAAAATAGTTCAAAATGTGAAGCCTCATACCATCATGCATGTTTAATAACAGATATATTGATAGTGGCTCAAATATCTGGAATGTTTGGTGGTTTGCATTAGTCTAGTTGTGGAGAATGCCGTACCACTGAATCATAATAATCGGTGACTGATCAAACATGAACCGGTAATTCTCACAACAATTTCTAAGCGAGTACGTGGTCATCAGTGATTTTTTGGGACAACTATTTGAGCCCTGTACGCGTGCTTTGTCTAAGAGACTCGTCAAATTAAGGAACTCACTTCTGTATATATATACAATAGTGTGTCAAAATCAACTACATTTGTATGTTACACAGTTATTATAACATATATATATGACTATGACAGGTACTGGAGCACCAACAAATCAGGTTATATAGATAGATTTGGCTATATAGGCTATATAGTGAATGTAAACAAACACACCAGTACTGGTCGTAATTATCTCTTGTGTACACATCGATTGAAGTGTTGATTTAAGTATAATATTTAAATCATGCTATTTCTAATTCAGACACCTACATTGAGTCATATTACAAGTGTTGACATTTGTTGACATTTCACAATTCTATTAGTCCAACCAGAGACGTATATATATTACAGAGATTGGCAACTTGCTCTTGACCTGACCATTGGTCATGGTAATTTATCGGATGTCGTCTCGCGAGTTATGCTTCACCTTCGTCATATTCATGGATATACGGTTCGCTGCATTCAATATTCCTGTCCTGTTCAAAACATAATTATGCCTTAAGAAAACATTGAAAATCAACGTAATATTAAACCCGTAGCTAGCTGAGATTTCCATGTACATGGTAGCTTGGGAGTGCTCCATTGAATTTCAACTTGAATAATTAAGTTTTGAAAACACCAAACATGGAAAGGTTGCACTTGTAAGATCATGGCTGTGTTTATATTACAAATCAGTAATGATTCTGGCTACAGGAGAACAGGGACTCCGTTTTTTAAAATTAATTATTTGATATATTTCTAACCAGCTTCTTAAAATGAGGTTGTTTAATATACTTGCAAAGTTTAATAATTTAACTCTGAAAATTCATTTTTTTAAGAATTTATAAACAAGTTCAAATGGCAGCTTTGATGTTTGAGGGTTTTTTCTTTCATGAAACATTAAAGCACAAACACCTTTCTAATTCATTATTTAATTTCAAAAACATCTTCAGATATTTATTCTAACATATTAGTTCTAGCTTGCTTTTTCAAATGAGGTTGTTTACAATACATGCAAAGCTTAATCATTTAGCTCTGAAAATACTGTGTTTTCAGAATAAGTTAAAATCGTGGCTGTGATGTGCAGGGGCAATACCTTTTATGACACACACACTCCTTTCTCGTTCATTATTAAATTTCAAAAACCTATTCATATTTTACATAATATTTCTAGTCAGCTTCTTAATATGAGCCATGTGTTTTTGCGAGATCAGGGTGGGTTGCCAATCTCTGTAATATATACATTTTGTTTTAACAAATTTTATTATATATATAAATAAACATATATAAATGGATCAGATAACAGGCTAGGCCTATATCAATCTTCTCCAATATATACATTTGTATGTCTCTGGTCAAGGATGAAAAAAAATGAGTTCTCCTGGGCTCGCTGATAAAAAAAAGGTCTGGAACGGGTAACCAAGTACCCGGTTACAGTTTGGTTATGATTTCTATCAGGTTAGCAAATCCACGTACCTGAAAACCATCCAAAAATGTAGGTCAGTATTTATTGACTTCCCGGGCAGAAATGTCACTCCTAACTGTTGATTGACAGACCTGGTAAACACTCTTGATCAGGATACTTGCTTTACTGTTGAGTGCATGTAAACAATAAACTTTGGAATGTAAACATAATATCGACTGACATTCTGTTGAACAATGTAACTCATCATTCACCGGCAGCTATCGTCAGTGTTAATTCTGACTGGAAGTGATGCGCTGACAAATGTGCGCTTAGTGTTGACAACAGATGAGTGTAAAGTGAAACTAAGAAAATGTCCCTGTCAGGAGACTAGCGATATGTAACCAATTCATAACAATTTTATGAATTTGCCACGATTTACAACTGAACTCACAAGACATAAGTATTGAGTTATCTTTGTTAATTCATTTAATGAATTAATTAATCATATTTTTTATCAAAATAAAAAGCCATTGGTGGCCATATTTCATTGCACAAAAAAAAACATGGTTACCCGGTTTCGGTTTGGATAACACACAGTTATATATCCGAGTGGCATTTTTTCTAACCGTTGCAGCCTTAGTTTCCGGTAACCCTATACCTACCCTAATATTTTATGTCTACCCTACACTTTTGAAGGCAATTTTTCAAAGAATCAAATCACTGTTAAAGTCAAGATCCCTCTCCTATATAAAGTTTATATAGGAGAGGGCAGAGGGATCTTTACTTTATATTATAAAACATATAAAATTACTTGTTAAAATAATATTTGTAGCTACCTACCCTAAATTTTTCCAACATGTTACAGGAAACACATATTTTTTATAACCCCCCGCAACGAAGTTAGGGGGGGAGGGGTATACTGGAATCAGCTTGTCTGTGCGTAGAAAAAATTGGTCCGGACAACGTACTCCTTCTAAAGTAATGGACCAATTTCAACGAAACTTTCCAGATATAATAACAACCACCTGAAGTTGTGCATCCAGGTATTATGTTTTCATTCTGACCCTTTTTCACGAAGTTATGGCCCTTTGTTGAAAATCCTTGTCCGGTCAACTCCTCCAAAACTATGGAGCCAATTTCAATTGAAGTTTTCAGATATCATAACTACCCACTAATGTTGTCCATCCAGGTGTGCTTTCCAGCCCTTTGTTATGGAGTTATGATCATGACCCTTTGTTGAAAAATCCTTGTCCTGACAACTTCTTCTAATCTACTAGGCCAATTTCACAGAAAGTTTACAGATATAGTAAATGACGTTGTGCATCCAAGTAGTATATTCTTATTCCGACCCTTTTAAAAGGAGTTATTGCCCTTTGTTGAAAAAAACCCATTTGTCTGTCTCCTAAACTACTTTTCAATCAAAGTTTACAGATATGGTACTTACCCCCTGATGTCGTGCATCACAAATGTATTTTTTTTATTTCGATTCTTTTTAAGGAGTTATGGCCCTTTGTTAAAAATCTTTTTCCTGACAACTCTTCCTTAACTACTAGGACGATTTCAGCAAAACTTGTTCATCTGGGCTAACATGATCTGGTTTGCAAGTATGTTATGGCATTGGGAGGGATTACAGGAAGTATGTCAGCGACCTATATTCTTAAATAAGTGTACAACTCAGTGAATAAAGAAATCATTACTGGTGGAAGACTATGAATTGCTTTGCAATGCTTTGTCGTAGTTAGCCTTTACCTTACAGTTCTGGTCTATGTAGGAGCGGGGGCTATTAGTTAGACTTTACCTTACAGTTCTGGTTTATGTAGGAGCGGGGGCTATTAGTTAGACTTTGGCTTACAGTTCTGGGTTTTTTCGGGCCTCTTTATTACCGTTACTACATATACATGTATAGGAAAGAGTAACATCCCCTTGCCTGGGAATTCTAGACCTATTGTTAAAGGATTCCAGTACCAGTACTAAAACCTCACACCTTGGAAACTGACATGATTATAGCTTTTATGATTATATCATGTCAGAAATGAAAACCATACTTTACGGAATTGTTATGAAAAATAATTATGATGAAATTAACCGCAACCTTATTCCGGGTATAAAAGTTCAGCAGGGCGAGACTGGGATTCAGACACTGGATTACACATTATGATAACAAATGGTCTAACAAATGGGTGTCCTGTCCTGTCCTGTCCTGTCCACACCCAACGGCTCTACAATTAAATCGAAAATGAAATTAAGGGGAGGTTACTGTATATATATACAAAAACCCATTGCAGTACTGTGACAGCTGCAGGCCTAGGTATCCTTGATAAAGTAGGGAGCTTATATAATTACATGCATATATTAATTGTTACCCATTGTTCTAACAATCATGATATTTTATAGAAGAACATAGCTGCAAAATGGCTTAAAATAACTTCAAAATTTTCTCTTAAAAAGACTTCCAATCATCTATACTTTTGTTTGTGATAGTCATATTAATATAGATTTCATTTTTTAATGCCTCTTGTACAGTCTACACTGTGACAAAGATTTGCAGATCTTTCTAAAAAGTGTGAATTTATTTTCTGCTATGATATGTTATGTACAGCTGTTCAGTGACACCGTGTGATATTATTATTAACGGTTACGAAAATTGAAGCAGGGTTAGGGCGTTCACGTCCTTGTGTGTCCTTTAGGCTTTGGCACTGGACAGTATGTGACTACTCAGGTGTGACGGCCGAGTCCCCTATTTCTCCTTCAGTCACCTTGACTTTATCATTAAATCAAACATGTCACTACATTTTATCTAACGTTAGACCCATACAACACCTGACAATCTGCATCTCTTCTCAAAATAACTCATTGAGTAAGAGTATTTTGAGTTGTATAGGTTCTTCGGTATGACGTAAATTTGTATCTTACATTTACATGCATACAAAGCTAAATCCTGGCACCCCATGGCCAGGGCTCAGACTTTTACGGGCCATTATACAGGATGTATTAAATGACTGGAATTAATTACCAATTGCCACCCGTACCTTTGATCAGAAGTCGCTACTTTGGGGTCTGAAAAAAAGTAATG